GCCTCCCAACACGGTATCATACAAAATGGCCAAAAATTAAAGGCCTTTACTTTAAAAACAGGACAAGACAAGGATGTCCTTTATCACCAATCCTATTTAATATAGTACTGGAAATACTAGCCAGAGCAATTAGAAAAGAGAGAGAAATAAAAGGGGTAAAGATAGGAAAAGAAGAAGTTAAATTATCATTGTTTGAGGATGGCATAATACTCTACACAGAAGACCCCCTAAACTCCATTGAAAGACTCCTAGATAGAATAAATAAATTCAGTAATGTAGCTGGATGCAAAATCAATACTCAAAAACCAATAGCATTCCTATACACTAACAACAAAATCACAGAGAGAAAAATAAGAGAAGCCACACCCTTCACACTAACAACCAGAAAAATGAAATATTTATGAATTACTCTTATGAAAGAAGTGAAAGACCTATAGAGGGAAAATTATAATACAATGAAAAAAAAATTGAAGATGATCTCAAAAAATGGAAAGACATCCCTTGGTCATGGATAGGAAGAATAAATATTGTGAAGGCCATTCTCCCAAAACTCTCATACAGATTCAATGCAATTCAAATAAAAATACCATCAACATACCTCATAAATCTAGAGAAGTCACTCCTAAAATTCATTGAGAGCGAGAAGAGACCTAGAATAGCAAAGACAGTTCTATGCAACAAAGGCAAGGCAGGAGGTATCACAATCCTTGACTTGAAGTTATACTACAAAGCAACTGAAGTAAAATCAACATGGTACTGGAAGCAAAACAGAGCTAAAGATCAATGGACTATATTAGAAGATATAACCACAACTACAAACACACTCAACCACCTTATCTTTGATAAAGGCGCCAAACAGTTTCACTGGAAGAACAACAGTCTCTTTAATAAATGGTTTGGAAAAACTGGTCTCCATACGCCAAAACTAAAACTAGACCCATGCCTATCACCATACGCTAAATTAAAATCTAAATGGATCAAAATTCTGAATATTAAAACAGAAACACTAAATCTATTGGAAGACAAATTGGGTAGAAATCTTGAAGACATAGGGGTAGGTAAAGTATTCATGAACATGACTCGAACCACACAGTAAATACTTCCCAGAATCAGTAACTGGGACCACCTCTTATTAAAATGTTTCTGTATGTCAAAAGAAATCTCCAGCATAGTGAAACGAAAACTCACAAACTAGGAAAAAATCTTAGTGAACTCTCCCTCAGACAAAGGACTTCTATCTTAAACATGTAGAGAATTAAAAAAAAATCAAACCCCCCAAAATTCAAAGATCCAATCCAAAAATGGGCATCTGAGATGAATACACACTTCTCAGATGAAGAAATACAAATGGCAAATAAATACATGAGAAAATGTTCATCATCATTAGTCATTAGAGAAATGCAAGTTAAAACCACGCTGAGATTCCATCTGACTCCTGAAAGAATGGCCAGGATCAAGAAAACTACCAATAACAAATGCTGCAGAGGTTGTTGGGAAAAAGGAACTCTCCTGTACTGTTGTTAGGAGTGTAGACTGGTGCAAACACTGTGGAGGTCAGTCTGGAAATTTCTCAAAAACCTGGATTGGAAGTCCCATTTGTTCCAGCTATCCCACTTCTAGGCATATTCCCAGAAGAACTGAAAGCATCATACTGCAGTGATATATGTGCACCCATGTTTATAGCAGCACAATTTGTAATTGCCAGATCTTGGAAACAACCTAAGTGTCCATCAACTGAGTAATGGATTAAAAAAAAATTGTGGTATTTTTATACAGTGGAGTACTACTTGACTATTAATAATGGTCACATTGAAATATTTATAAATAAATGGACACAATTCAAGACCATATTCATAAGCGAAATAAATCAAACTCACATGTATGAATACCGAATAATTTCCCTATTGTAAGAAATGATTCAAATATATAAAAGTATGTGGCAATCGTGATTCCCCATTATGTGGCTTTGAAGCCTTATAAAGTTTTCACTCATTAATTGGAATGGCTTTATTCTGGGCTGTTTGTTATTACTGCTTGTGATGATATGAACAGCTATTTTGAAGAAAACAAGATATCATAATAGCTAGTTCTGATTTAATATCATCCTGTTTTGAAGTTCCACCAAACTGTTGTTCTTCTGTATCCATTGGTTTTATCATGCTGTATTTTATTATATGTGATAGTATAAACAGAAATTTTTATAGGCAAAGAGGTAATATAGAAACCATTTTTCATTTTCTATTAGCTGGTTCTAAATACACTGTAATACTTTCATTCTCTTGAAAGGTTTCACACTGCCTTGATATGTTTGAAGCCATAGTATACGATAAAGTTATACTCAAATATTTCAAGGAAAGAGACACTATGGTAACTACTATTAAGTCTAGTAACCTTGTGGTGAAGCACTAGGTTGCTGAAATTGATATGCTTTGACCTGTATTATGTTGTTATGTCCTCTTTTATCTCAATCTCACCCTTTATTCATGAAAAAATTTATTTATTTATTTTTATTATTGTTTTTAATTAAGGGAAAAAATAAAAAAAATTAGCAGGATATATTATACTAACTTTTTTGATTTCCTATTAACTTGATTTGAAGCCCTGTATTGCTCCCACCATCTTGTTTTGACACATTTTACTCTGTTCTGTTCTGTTTTATAGTATCAAGTTTGAGAGTATAGGCAATTACTTTGAACGCAATAAGATTCACTATGATGCCCTTTCTGGTTTGACCGTTTTCCTCTTTTGAAGTCCTGTAATGTCTCAAATGTTTAGGTTTTATTGGTCTTGTTCTGTGTTTTGTTCAATTTTATTATATTTAATGATATATGCAATTCTTTTTAAGGTAACAAGAGGCATTATGGTAACCATTGTTAATTACCTTGTATTCTGTTTTTACATCATGTGCTATGTCCATCCTTTGTTTTGACTGACTGCTTTGTTTTGTCATATTTGGTTTTATTCTCTTCCAAAAAAAGTAATAAGAACTATGGGAGTAATCAACCCAAAATATGTAAGTGTTGTTGTAAAAAGAGAGGAAAAAATGAGGTGCTCTGAAGGATACAACTGCAAGTTTGTTTAGGTGTGTTAGGATAGATGATCATAGTACTAAGTTTTTGTTGGATCATTGAACACAACTGTTTGCAGTCTCACTGTTTGAATGTCCACTTTGTATGCTTTAATTCTGTAGCTTAAATAACTATTTGTAAGATGACAATATGTGATCCGTTAACTAGTGATTCCTTATTGTCTTTTTTTAAATTCTGTATCACTTTTACGCTTATACTTTTTCTTCCTTTAAATAAAAAAAATTGAGACAAGTGTTATGATCTAGGGCTCCAGGGGGATTAAAACCCACTAGAAGAGTTTGAGACTCTGGGGCTAAAACAATGAATGTCTCTGGGTAGGTCATATTTATTTTGTTTTCAAACAAGAAAATTAGAGCAGAAAACACAGGACACTGAACAGGACCTTGGCAGTGGTTCAAGAACTTTTCTGAGTAACAGATTATGTTAATTTAAGAAAACTATTTTATGTTAATTTAGGAGAAGTATTTTAGAAGAACATCTCCAGGTTGACTTTCTCTACAGGAGTGAAATGCCTGCAGATACAATCTTATCTTGTTAATTTGGGTTGGACCCAGGTATCCTTAACTGTGGCCTTATCTTGCCCTTGAGATGTTTCTTTGCTCTCAGGTTGTCCATGCCCAGACCATGCCACAGCCCTGAAATCATATTCAATTTCCAGCTTCAATAGCTCCCAACAGGTTTGTTTGTCCTAGACCAAAATATCTGGAGTGACTATAGATGAATAAATACTCACCCTCAAGGTAAAGTCTTATCACACCTGGAGACTAAGTCTTCATTATTGACAATCTGTGGGTAGTATTTTAAAATGCTTTTTTGTCACACTATGTTAAGGCCTTGAGGGGATCTTTTCTGGGTGAGTACTGTGAAAACTTGGTGTGATTCTTCAAAGTAATGTAAGGTCGGCGTTGCAGGGAAGAAGACCCCAAGGGCTCACGTCTTTAAGGGTGAAAGCTTTATTTCCATGTGCATGGGGTCCGTCCAGCAAACGAGTGTGGAGGACCCCGAAGGGAAGTTACACAGGGTTTTTAAAGGCATAAACTGCAAAGCAGGCGATGTTACAGAAGCAGATCGCATTGGTTAGCTTTGAATGGTGCAGGGCTTGGCAGGAGCTGATTGGAGGGGCTCAGGGTTGGGTAACTTTAGTGTCCGGGGGTCATAGCCCGGTCACTGTGTTCCCGGAACAGTTGTTTATCTTTTTTTTTTTGTTTTTTGTTTTTGTTTTTACCAACGGAAAGTCCCTTCTTGTTTTGTACAGATAGCTCGGGGGGGGGGGGTGCGGTGGCAGCTGTAAAGTTAACTCTTTCATTCCCCCCTTTTCTTGTGAATAACCTTTAATCTTAAAGGTCTTGTACGGGCAGGGGGTCATCTTGTAGGAACACACAAGGGAGGTGTATGGAACAGTTTTAGGGGGTCTTTCAGCACAGCTTTAGCTTTAGGGGGTTATCAGACCATTTAAGTTCCCAGTGATCGTCCTCTGGCGCTGAAGCTGGTTTCAGATGTGACGCGTGGATCCAAGAGGTGATGCCGTCGACCTTTACCGCTGTGGGAATGGTCAGTAGGATCTGGTATGGTCCTTTCCAGCAAGATTGTAGGGTCTCTTGTTGATGACGCCGGATGAGCACAAAGTCTCCCACCTGCTATGGATGCGGTATGGGAGGTTTGTTGGGAGCGTAGGCTGAGGCTAGCTGGGTCCACAAATCCTTTTGTAGGTGGTCAAGGGCGATGAGCCTGTCAGACAAGGAGGTCACCGGGGGCCCAAAGGTTATTTTGTCTTTATTGAGTAAGAGGCTTTGGTAATGTGTAATCCGGGCGTTTGAGAGCCACCTCTCGGGAGGTTGGCAGATGACACTTTCTAGCGTGTGTGGGGCAATAATTGTTAATTTTTGTCCCAAAGTCAGTTTGTCAGCGTCCTTAGTGAGCAGGGCTGCTGCTGCAAGGGCCTTTAGGCATGGTGGCCATCCGTTTGCCACAGTATCTAGTCTCTTTGAGAGGTAAGCCACCGGCCGTTTCCATGGCCCAAAGGTCTGCGTTATCAGGTAGAGCTAGGGCCGGGGCAGATAGGAGGGCTCGCTTGATGGCATCGAAGGCCTGTTGGTGATCCTTCCCCCAGACAAAGGGTGATCCTCCCTTAAGCAATGGGTAAAGGGGAGCTGCCAAGGATGCGAATCCTGGGATCCACAGCCAGCAAAACCCCGCCGTACCCAGAAATTCTCGAAGCTGTTTTTGGCTTTTGGGGGGAGGAATCTGGACCACAGTCTGTTTTCTAGCCTCAGTGAGCCATCTTTTTCCTTCCCTTAGGGTGTAACCCAGGAAGATTACCTCTCGTTTGCAGATCTGAGCCTTTTTTGCTGATGCTCTGTACCCCAGAGTGGCCAACTCACGTAGGAGATGTTGGGTCCGGTTGTTGCAGTCCTTCTCTGAATCTGCTGCCAGCAGCAAGTCATCCACATATTGAAGTAGAGTGAGGTCCGGGTGTTGAGCCTGGAATGGAGCTAGATCTTTGTGGAGAGCCTCATCAAAGATAGTTGGGCTATTCTTGAATCCCTGGGAGAGGCGCGTCCACGTCAACTGTCCATTTATTTTGGAGTCTGGGTCTGTCCATTCAAACGCAAATAGAGGTTGGCTGTCATTATGAAGGGGTAAGCAGAAAAAGGCATCTTTCAAATCTAGGACAGTTTACCAGGTTTTGGATGGGTTTAAGCCACTGAGGAGATTATAGGGATTTGGCACGGTGGGGTGGATGTCTTCCACCCTTTTGTTGACCTCTCTCAAGTCCTGTACTGGCCTATAATCATTGGTTCCTGGCTTTTTAACAGGGAGTAGTGGTGTATTCCATGCAGATCGACAAGGGGTTAATACCCCCTGATCTAAAAGTCTCTGTATATGTACCTTAATTCCTTGGTAGGCCTCTCTGCCAATGGGGTATTGTCTAACTCGGACGGGGGAGGCAGTGGCCTTTAGAGTGATCACCACAGGTGGTTGTTGGTTGGCTAGTCCCAATCCAGCCGTTTCAGCCCAGGAGTCTTTGAAATCAGCTAACCAAGCAGGAGGAACAGGCTGAAGACTCTGATCATTATAGAGCCTATATTCATCTTCCAACTTCAGAGTCAATATTGTGACTATGGGCTGTTCAACCTTCGGGTTGCGGAATGTCACCTGAGGTCCCTGGGGCTCAAAGGAAATCTTTGCCCCTAATTTAGTTAACAGGTCTCTTCCTAACAGGGGAGCAGGGCATTCTGGGATGACCAGGAAGGAATGTTTTCCTTTTCCTTTTCCCAGGTCGACTGTGCGCTCGGTGGTCCATGAGCGGTATTTGCTTCCGTTAGCCCCTTGAACTAGTGATTTCTTGGTTGAAAGGGCTCCCAAGGGGGCCTGAAGGGCCGAGTAAACAGCTCCCGTGTCGACCTCAAATTCCACGGGAGTCCCCTCCACCTTAAATGTTACCCTGAGTTCGGGGAGGGGAACCGAGCCCCGAAGTCCCTAATCTTCCTCATCTAAGGCGAGCATGGGGGTTCGCTGCCGCTGTGAGGACTGCTTTTCTCGTTCCTCTTTGGCTCGCTTCCTTTTAAGTTTTTCACAGTCTTTGATTAGGTGTCCTTTCTCCTTGCAATATGCACATTGGTCAGGGTCTAATGGGGGGCGATTGGGCTTTCCCTTTCCTGTCTCAGGCTTACCCTGAATAACTGTGGCCAACACTTTTGCCAATTCCTTGTTTCATCTTTTGTCTCTAGCTAACTCCTTTTCCTCTTCTGTCTCTCGTTTATAGTAGACTTTTTCAGCTTCCTTAACGAGATCCCTCAGAGTTAGGTCTTGTAGACCATCTAGCCTTTGGAGCTTATGTCTTATATCAGGAGCCGATTGCCCTATGAAGGCCATGGCAATTGAGCCCTGTCGGCCTTCATCTTCAGGGTCAAAAGGCGTGTACCATCGGTAAGCCTCCATCAGGCGTTCTAGAAAAACTGAGGGAGTCTCAGTGGGCCCTTGAGTTATTTCTCTTACCTTGGCCAAATTGGTAGGGCGCCTTGCGGCCACCCGGAAACCCACCATTAGAGTCTGGCGATAGATGGAAAGATGCTGCCTACCGTCAGAATTGGGATCCCAGTCGGGGCATTTCAGCGGGAAAAGATCGTCAATTTGATCGGGTCTCTGGGTGGGTCTGCCATCATCTCCTGGAACATTTTTTTCGGGCCTCGAGAAGGATTCGATCTCTTTCCTCGGTGGTGAACAGGACCCCCAATAGTTGTTGGCAGTCATCCCATGTGGGTTGGTGAGAGAACATAAGCGAGTCCATTAGGCCTGTTAACTTAGAGGGGTCATCAGAGAAAGAGGGGTTATTATTTTTCCAGTTGTATAAGTCTGAGGATGAGAATGGCCAGTACTGAAGGGCCGGCATTTCTCCCTCTGCTGTCCCATCACTTAGAGTGGGCCCATAGGGACAGGAGAGGGAGAGTGACGACCGGGTCCTCCGGCCGCTGTCTACTGTGGGTGTTCCGGGCTGGGCCCTCAGGCCCAGGGGGACTGGCCTTGGAGCAGGCCGCAGAGGGGGGTGGGGAGTACGGAGAGAGAGTTGGAGCTGAGGGAAGGGAGGCCTCCGACTCCGGCGGGGAGACGGTTGGTGGAAGTGCATAAGGAGGAGGCAAGGCAGGTCAAGGAGGAGGGTGATCACAATCGAGCAGAGGGAGGTCAGGTTGGGAGTCAGGCAGGACCGGGGCAGGGGGCCCTTTCAGAGCCAAAAGTTTGGGTATGGAGGAGTCGGGCGGAGGAAGGAAGGGTTTTACCCACGGTGGGGGCTCCTCCCTGAGGTCCTGCCATACCAAGATGTAGGCGACCTGGTCGGGGTGGCCCTCTCGTCTGGGGTGGAAGATGATGTTCTTAACTGCTAAGATGAGGGGAAGGTGGAAAGTCCCCTCTGGTGGCCAACCCACAGAGAATGTGGGCCACTCAGATGAGCAGAAAGTCTGCCATTTACCTTTTTTAACCTGTAAGGAGAGATTGTGAGCCCTCTCTCGAACCTCCGACCAATGGTCGAGGGTGAGGGACAATGGGGACGATGTCGTTTGTCCCCTGGTGTTCTGAAGACAAAGAGTGGTTAGCGTACGCGCGACACAACAAATAACTGATCACAACAGCCACAACACACAGGACAAACAGGCTGGCCACCTCACTCTCACGCATTAGCCTCACACCAAATGAGCCACCTTAGGGGGTGCCTCCAGATTGGCCCGGATGGACCACAGATTGGGAATGAAATTCCCCAGACCAATAGGAAAACCCTATCGCAGGCGGTGAGTCACGGAAAACCGTGTGGGGCGTTCCCCGATCACCAAGGAACAGAAATCGCCCCTGAAGTAGAGCTGGAGTTCGGCCTGGGGCGAAGAGAAACGGTGGATCGATCCAAAATGAAAGTAAAAATATGACCGGTCGTACTCACCTGAAGAGGGACGCTGAGCCATTGAGATCGTCTCCCGTGAGACGTACGATCTCGCTGGGGCCTCCAAATGTAAGGTCGGCGTCGCAGGGAAGAAGACCCCAAGGACTCACGTCTTTAAGGGTGAAAGCTTTATTTCCATGCGCATGGGGTCCGTCCAGCAAACGAGTGCGGAGGACCCCGAAGGGAAGTTACACAGGGTTTTTAAAGGCATAAACCGCAAAGCAGGCGATGTTACAGAAGCAGATCGCATTGGTTAGTTTTGAACGGCACAGGGCTTGGCAGGAGCTGATTGGAGGGGCTCAGGGTTGGGTAACTTTAGTGTCCGGGGGTCATAGCCCGGTCACTGTGTTCCCGGAACAGTTGTTTATCTTTTTTTTTTGTTTTTGTTTTTGTTTTTACCAACGGAAAGTCCCTTCTTGTTTTGTACAGATAGCTCAGGGTGGGGGGGCAGCTGTAAAGTTAACTCTTTCAGTAATACCCAGAAAAAATATGGAGGCTACCCTGAAAACTATGGCCCTTAGAGTTTCTAACTCTTTTACTCCAATCCTCAAACTCTGAAATTTCAGGTATTCCTCCTAGTTAAGAACTTTAACAGCTTTTTCTCTGGGCAATACCATTACTCAGACTCATTGTATGGACTTGATATCCAGAGTGACACAGTTTGCTTGAGAACTCATCTCTTTGGTGAGTCTAAGAAAATTGTTGATTGATTTTTCACTCAGTCAACTTTTTTTGTTGTTGTGAGAATAGGAATGACGACTTCTGAATTCAGTGTAAGGCATAACTGTAATTATCTTTTGAAACAGCATATTTTGTAAAATTGTATCAAGCATTTGGTGATTTGGGCCTATGGAAATTTCTTGGAAATGGAAATAACAAAATTTCCAAGTGTATTACTACTCTAAGTTAAAATACAGAAATGACTGTGAATTAGGCTCACTCTTCTGATCCTAAATATATGCATTCTGAGATGTGAAGCACAGGGGGATGAGATTTCATTGATGATTCTGCAGAAATGAGTGTCTGTCAGGTGATGGGCGCACCCAGCTCAACAAGAAGTGACATTTACACCTCCACCTGCAAAGTCCCTTCCCTTAACCCTATCCCCAGCCCCATTAGGCTAAGATCTGTGAGGTACAATATCTGCCATAACAATTTAAGTTATCCTTAGTCTTAGAAAACTCCCTCTCATCTGTGCATTTCTTTGACTGTGGAATGTTGCTTACTTATCTATTATCTAGTCTTAATATTTTGTTCTGGAACTTTCTGATGGTTGTCATTTTTTTTTTTTTTTGGTCCAGTCATCTAGATCAAAATTTACTGATGGTTAAGGCAGTACCCATCTGCTTTAACTGCCTAAACCATCAGTAAATTTGTGTCCAAGCTTAACATTAAATGAAAATGGACCACTTATTTCTCTATTTCTTATGTGTCCAAAGGTATTACTGTAGCTTAGCTATTCACTGGGAGATTGAATTTATAGTTTATTTCAAAAAATTTTAAACAAAGATTGTATTTGATGTTATGTATAATAGTTAATTAATAATATGAAATACTATTGATATCAGCAATGAAATTCCTGACCTACTATATATCTGGTATGAGTTTGTGTTCTCTAAAATCAAAGAATGAATTTTAGGAACAATGGAGGGTAAGAGCAGAAACATATTGAGAGAAAGAAAGCTCCTGTATGAGAGAGACAGCATGGGTCCTGAGTGGGCTGTGAAGAGTCTATATTTTCTAGGGATTTTTATAGAGTAAAACAATGTGGTAAGGTGGATCTGAAGTGGGGAAAACTGGGAATTCCCAAGGTGGATGGACATGAAGTGGGACAGAGCTATGGTTAACCAATAAGTTTAATTGTTTAGGTAAAGTTAACCAAATTAGGGACAAATGAGGAAGTAAGTCACATAACCAATGAGAATTTTTTATGAGTCAGTTACTCTTCCTATAGGGGGCTCGGATGGTGACTCCTGAATTTTTAAGGAAATCCATACCTGATTCCTAAAGTTTATCCTTAAGGGTGTGGTTGTATTTGTTTTGCCTTCTGTTTTGAGATCTGACCACAGCCAGATGTGTGTGTCTCCTCCAAGGTCACAAAATATTTGCTCCTCTGTGCTGGCTTCTTCAAGGGCCCAGCCCTATCTGACTAGCTATAATATTTCTAACTTCCTCAGCTGCCTGTAACACTGTCGCTTTTAAAGTAAAGAAGCAATGTTTGTAGAGAGGTTGCATTTCACTTTGATAAGCATAGAATGTGGAGCATCCCAGACAGCTGGTAAACATATTCATAATAATTTAATAAGCAGCTGAGTTGGTTAGATATATTATAGGCAGTCAGACAGGGCTGGGCACTCAAATGAACTAGCACAGAAAGCCAGATACAATATATAGATTTGGAGGAGACAGACACCTCCTATTGTGGGCCAGTTCTCAATGCAAAAAAACAAAACAAATACAACCACACCCTTAAGTATAAACATCAGGGACTGATATTCTAAACAGATATGGATGACCTTGAAGAAGCCAAGAGTCACCATCCCAAACTGCTATAGGAAGAGTCACTGCTGTTAAATCATGCCCACTTGCTACATGACTCACCTCCTCCTTTGTCCCTGATTTGGTCAATTTTACCTTATTGATTGACCACAGTTCTGTCCCATCTTTTGCACACCTTGCAAGTTCCAATGTTTTCCAGAACTTGGACCTATCTCACCTCATATTGTTCAATTTTCCACTTTTTATGCTTTAATTTTGTGACTTGGACAACTATTTCTAATATGACGATATGTAATTTATCAACTAGTGATTTCTTAGTGTTAATTTTTTTGAAATTCTATACTATTTCTACCCTTTTTTCTGTTTTAATCTTTTTTTTCTTTAAATAAAAGAAAAAGTTCCTAGAAAAGACAGAGTCTTAGCAACCATTTGGGACCCCTTCTGTCTCTCTCTCAGACAGAAACTTTCTTTCTTTCAATAAATATATTCTGCTCTTAAACTCACTTGTTCCTAAAATTCATTCTTCAATTTTAGAGAATATGAACTCATACTGGACATCTAATATGTTGGTAGCTTCATTCCTCTATATCATTAACATAACAAATAATCAAAATTTCTAAAGTGAGACCACAGTAGTGATAATTTAAATGAAATTATAGTGTAAACATAATCTGTTGAATGTCTTGAGTGAAAATGGCTTCCTTCTGTCACTGTATGAGATCCTAAAGTATATTTCTTAAAAGCACAATTTTAAAATTAAGAGTTTTGTTGTCTCCTTTGTATCTATTGTCTTCTATCCCACTTTGGGGTAACAGAATAAGGTAAGGCAAACCAATTCTTTGAGAAACCTATAGAGATCAAGGGCACAGAAACAGAATATGGAATGCAGAATGACTGCAGTGTTCTCAAACAAACTTGGACAAATTAGCAAAGTCTCATTTTCACTTTTCAATTACATCTAATGTGAAATAAAGTGTGCCTTTGACAGGGAAGCTTAAATCTGATGTTGTACCATTACAAATGCCTCATTTGCATGCAGGAGAAGAAATCTAGGAATTCCATACAAGAAAGAGCCCTGCTGTTATTCCTCCTGTCCATTGTGATTCTATTCATGGGGTCTCTCTCACTCTGAAATGCGTATTTGTTTTCCACCTTTAATAAATAATCCTTATCCTTTTTTGTATATCTTATCTGATTCTTGTACAGGACACTAAGAACTTTGAAAGTTTCACTTTTAGACTTCAAAACCAGTAACAACCTCACCTCACCTTTTTCAGGCTCCTTGCCTAGGATACAAATTAAATTAACTTAAAACAAATTAACAGTAAGAAAACATTTAATTATTTATGTGCATAAGGTTTACACAAAAATATTAAGACTGAAAGTAAAGCCAAATGATTGAAGCTTATGTAACATTTTAACCTTCAGAAAGCAAGAAGGGCCTGGCACCTTTTGGAGAAGAAATACAACAGCCAAAATGAAAGGATGATGGTTGAAACATACTGATAATAAAAGTTTCTTTGTAATGCAGAAAAGAGTCAGGTGATAAAGCTATGTCTAACAGCACTCTTTCTGACGAATAATTTTACTAGCAAAAAATCTCCTTTATAGATATAAATTTCTTTTATAAAGAAAAGTTATTTCAAGTTATTTTTCTCTCTGCCGTTTAAAAAAAAATAACTACACAAAACAATGCAATTTCCAAAGAGGAATATTTAGGGTAGCATATTGTGGTCTACAGTTATCTTAATTACTTCCATACTTGGAAGAAATACCAGAAGTTAAAGGAGGAAAAATGTATGTTAGCTCAGTTTGTAGAGGTTTCCATGTGTAATTGGCTGGCTACAAGGGAGACCGTGGCATAGAAAAAATTTACTGTATGACAAGCAGGCGATGGCAGCCTTTCTTCTTTCCCTTTTTATTCCATGCAGGCTACAAACTCATGGGTTAGTGCCACCTACTGCCAGAGCAGGCCTTCTCTCTTCAGAAAATCTACAGTTTACACTGAGGACTATGCTGCACTAATCATTGGGCTAATCAAATGTCACACATCCATGATTCATCCACCTACCCAAAGCCCTCCTGATATGTGAATGAGGCTTTGGGGGTCCATTTAGATACAAGCCA